TGTCTCAGCACAGTTCAGATCCTATACATAGCAGGAAAGCACTTACAAACCAAAGGAATCAGAGGATCTGGCCATTAAGTATCTTCAGAAACCAGGGGGACCATGTGTAGGAATGTATCTTAAGGGTATTAGACTGGAGTGGGGGAATACAAGGCTGGACAAGGGAGAATTTCACATGTTGCACTCATTCATGATGTGAGGGTCAATATACTGGCAAGGAAACCAGGAGTTTTTCTGAGACTCTGCTGATATGGATTCTCAAATCTTTGGCACAATGATGCCTCATAGTATATGAGGTAAAGATGCCAGAACGCCTGTGGCATGGTAGTAAGGAAGGAATAAGAGGCCCAAGAAGATGAAAACCTTAGAATGTATTTATTACATGAGATTAGAGAACCCATCACTGGACTCTGTTCCCTGGGGAGGCCCAGAGGGCACAACCTTCACTGAGCCAATAAGGAGCACACTAGTGAGGGACACACTAGTTCTCAGAGATCCACAGTGGGGGTTGTTCTCTGTGGGCTGGGGGGTGACAATATGAGGTGTTGCTTGAAATTGGGTTCTCTAGTGTCATTAGAGATGTTAGGGTTTCAGAATGGTGGAGGGCAGGTGATGGTACTTAATCAGGGGAGACCAGGTGAATGAAAGCAACCATAATGGATAGAGAGCCTTGAAGGACTACCAGAGAGCCTTGGTCTATATGGTCCATAGATCATGTGTTTCTAGTGGTGAGTTAGATGAATGGTCAATAAAGGTATTGCTAAACTTATATTTTAAGAAACTGAGAATTGTCAAGCAGCAAGCTGATAACAGGTACTATAATAGAAAAATCCCCAGCCCCATAAACTTTAATTAAAAAAAGAAAAATCCTTATTTCTCACTTGATTGTCAAATCTAAAATGATTCACAGACTCACTTGATTGTCAAATCTAAAATGATTCACAGACTCAAAGCCCATTGCTTAAAGAGGAGGCTAGGCCCCCTTGAAGAAGGATAGGTATATATGTATTATACATACATGTACACACATAAGAAAGATCCTTCTTCAAGGGGACTGCATTAGTTGGCTAGGGCTGTCACAACAAATAACACAGACTGGGTGGCTTAAAGAACAAAAATTTATTTTCACATAGTTCTGGAGGCTGAAAGTCCAAGATCAAGGTGTCAACAGGATTGGTTTAACTTAAACTTCTCTCCTTGGCTTGTAGATGACTGCTTTCTCCCTGTGTCTTCACATGGCCTTCCCTTTCTGTGTGTTGGTGTCCTAATCTCTTCTTATAGGGATTCCAGTTACATTGCATTAGGCCACCCTAACAGCCTCATTTTAACTTAATGTCTCCTTAAAGACCCTGTCTTTAAATGCAGTCCCATTTGAGGTACTGGGGGTTAGTACTTCAGCATACAAATTTTGGAGGAGACATAATTCAGCCCTTAACAGGGACTTAGTTTCGTGTGTGTGTGTGTGTGTGTGTGTGTGTGTGTGTACACGTTCATAGTAAATTATTCCCACAAAGGGACCTGTAGCCATTTACCAACGTAACTGTGCTCTGGGGAAAGAGGAATATCTAGCTTTTTCAAAGACAGTTTGATACTAGATCTGAACTAACACTGATATCAGGTCTCAAAATAGCATCTTGGTCTTCTAGTTTAGAAAGAAAGCTTATGAAGGTTAGTAATAAATAAAATTCTAACTCAAGGTCACCTCACAGTGGGTCCAATGGGTCCACAGTTCCATTCTGTGACTATTTCCTTGGTCAACCTCTTTTCTTTGTTCCCTGATTTGTAGAGTAAGAACCTTATGGTAGGGAGTGCAAACTGGGAGCCCTTGAAATGACTCCTTAAACTCTCTGGCCTAGATAGTAGGAGAGAAGCAACCGAAAATAATGCCACATCCTGGAAGGATTTCACAGACTGGTGATAGCATCAAAGACTTAAAAGCAACAGGAAGGGTCGTCCCTATTATAACCTCATTCAATTTATCCTTCCAGCCCTTGCAGAAACCAAACTGATCATGGTGGATTGTGGTGGACTTCTATAAACCTATCTGGCAGGCAGCTCCCATTGCAGCTACTGTCAGACATGATTTCTTTACTTGAACAAGTCAACGCAGCCTCAGAAATTTTCTGTGGAGTGATTTAGGAGGAGTGTTGGAAGATTTCCCTTACTTTTTATGAGCCCAGATACACTGAAAAGTAGTGTATTTGTTTGTTTGTGTTTTGTTTTGGTTTTAACCCAAACTCTAGCTTTTCTTGTTAGAGATCTTTTGGAGAATTTAGTCCCCAAACACCATTATAAGGGGAAGCAATACTTTTTTTCTAGACTTGTCCCATTTTTTTTTTTAAAAAAAAAAATTCATTGAGGGTGACAATGGTCAACAAAACTACATAGGTTTCAAGTGTACAATTCTATAATACATCATCTATATATTACACTATGTGTTCACCACCCAGAGTCAGTTCTCCTTCCATCACCATATATTTGACCCCGTTTACCCTCATCTACCATCCCCCTCCCCCCTTACCCTCTGGTAACCACTAAACTACTGTCTGTGTCTATGAATTTTTGTTTCTTTATTTGTTTGTCTTGCTCATTGCTTTCAGTTTTAAATCTCACATATGAGTGAAGTCATATGGTTCTCAACTTTTCCTGTCTGACTTGCATTCCCTTAGCATAATAATCTCAAGATCCCATGTGTCTTGGCATTCTGGCCAGTTAATTATAGGACAAAGCCAGAAAATCTGCTGTGCCACTCTACCCTCTGTGATCTTAAGCCAATTATTTGGCCTTTCTGAATTTTTGTTTCCTATGTGTGATAAAAGGAAAATAATACTAATTCCTAAGATTGTCATAAGGATGGACAAGGCTAAATCAACTAGCATAGAGCCTGCTACGTATAAAATATTGAATAAACGGCAATTGCCTTTTCCTTCCCACATCATGCTAAGGCCAGAATTCTTCATTAGTGTTGCTGTCTCCCTAACAATCTTTCTCTCACCAAAAAAGTCCACCATACCAATGAACCAACCCAACAAAGAACGCTAATCCAAATTGAAAATGTGGTCACAGTATTTTGTAATGTTAGTAATATAGTAACATGTATCCAACTTTATTATTAATATTGGCTATTTTATGTTGTAATATAGAATCATGCTTTCTAATATTTATAACAAGTACTGAGGGCCAGCCAAGTGGCTCAGTTGGTTAAGAGCTCACTCAAGAGTTTGAGCTCTGAG